CAACATTTAACACCTGCCGGCGCCCGTTCCTCCCGGAGACTCGATCCGGCCCGCGGATCGGCTCCACTTCTCTGGAGAGCCTGATTGGGTTTGATCCACGCTGCAAGCTCCAATATAAAGACACCACGACTTCTCAAAGGCGAGCAAAGTCATCCATATCAATGGTGATTGCTGGCAAGCTGAAGCATGCGTCCACAACACGTGAGAAAAAGATGGCGGCTGTCTGCAATCTACTCCGAAAGAGGAAAAACAATGCGCACAGCAGTCGACTCTAAATCGACGGTGTCATCGTCTAAAAAGAACAACACTCCACAGGAAACAAAACATCAATCTCCTGTGACAAAGAACCCACTGCGAACCCCCCCCACCCCCGCAAAAAATACGAGAATCAGAAACAAGAATCCTTTGTCAAACAAGACAAACGTAAAGTCACATCCATCCATCCCAACTGAACACCAATCCACGCTTAAACCGAAAAGCATTGCTGCTCTGGGATAGAACAACAATCTACTCTGAAGCAAACAACGATCTACCTCGAAACCCAAACAACAATTTACTCGGACGCAAAAAATTATCGACAATGGAGTCAAATCATCAACCGTGAAATCGGGCGACAATCTCCTCTGAAGAGAAAAATTGACCTTGAAATACAACAGCAATCTACACGAAAGCCAACTCGAAGTAGACCGTAAAAGACAACAACAATCTTCTTTGAAAGAGGACAACCAACGACACTGGAAAACAAAATCTAGTGTAAAACGGAACGCCAATCGACTCTGAAACAACAACAAGCGACTCTAAAGAGAATGCAATCTCATGTAAAATACAACATCAAGCTACCATCAAGACAAACGACTGCGAAACAGACCAACAATCTATTGTTTAAAAAAAAAAGCAAGATTTGACTCAGAGGGAGAACGAAATCGACTGCTCAAATGAAAAAAAAACAATCTGCGGAGAATTTGAACCACGACCTCCTTTGACTTTAACTTGAGCGAAGGCCGGCAGAGTCAGCGACATCGGCGGCCATTGCTGGCGAGTGGAGACCCTGACAGACAACAACAAAGCTGGCGACTGTCAATCACCTCACGCGGCGATGTTAGCGAGATGTCGTCGCTAATGAGATCTGAGCGTAAACATTCCGCTTTCGCAAGTGGCAACAAACCAACATGTTTTATGCATGCGATTTCTCTGCCCAGAAATGCTTCAAAAAAAAAAAAAAAAAAGAAAAATGTCTGATTTAAATGGAGTCTGCAGCTCCCGGCGTCATTAGCAGACTTTATCACTGACACTTAACGCTTTACAGCCTCGTTATCACGTCGCCTCACTTCGTGAGGGAAAAGGCAGACGATGCGCTAAAGGACTCCTACGCTTTTTTTTTTTCGTTTTAATTTTCATCAGGCGGTGGGTTGTCGCCGCGTTGAAAAAGAACCCCTCTCCCGCCCACACCCCACCAAACGCAAAAAAATTGGCGTTAGGTGTTTATTTTGAGCGTAAACATCCCCGCGTAAACAGAGCGAGAACAGTCACGTTTATGCGCCTGATGCTCGTTTGCGTTTTCTTTCCAGGTTGCATGCATTACTAAAAAATACATTTAAATCCGTCGGTAACTGCGTACAAAAGCTGAGATGTCATTCGTTTCAAACACCCGAGACAAAAACACAAACAGCATAAGAAAATAATCCGGTCTTATGTTTTAGAATTTTTTTAAGTATTAAAAGTGTAGCCTTGCCAGTTAAAGAACAAAAATGCTGTACTCGTCTTCAAAATGATTGACTGTTAATAAAGTAACACAATTATGTGATGAGATAAATCCATTTTCAAATACGAAGCCGTATGTTCTGGACACATTTTAGGAAAAAGGGCTTGATGATGCAAACGCTCGTCCCAGCACGCCTGATAATCGGCGACCGAGTGGCTGGTAAAGCAAAAGAGAGCACTTAGCGGCGGCGCTTCATCTCGCCGAGCGGGGGTCAAGACTGAGACGTGGTTGCGAGAGTCGCGGAGGAGTTGGATGAATAGGTACAATGAAGGAGGCCGCGGGCGGGGGACAAAAAAAAAAAAAAAGACGCGCGGGAGCGGATCACAGGGCGGACACATTAAAAGCAAAGAGACGGAAATGTAGCTCATTAGCTCGCCGGATCCAGCGGGCGGCCCCGGCTACGGCGCCTTTGAAGGGGGCCGACGGGCAAGATGGGCACGGTGAAGAGGAAAAGGGCCAGAAAAGACGAGGAAGGGTAATACGAGCGGGACCACGAGGAAGAGGAGAGCCAAGAGGAAGCCGAGGACAGAGAGGATGCGCAGAATAAGAAGGATGGGCAGGCAGGTGGGCAAGAGGAAAATGAGCAGGGCCAAAGGCAGAGGCAAGAGGAGGGAGCAGGAGAACACAGACCACGACAAGGACGAGGAAAGAGGGCCTGGAGAAGGAAGATCAGGACGAGGAGCTGGAGGACTGCTGGTGGGAGGACAGGGGAGGAGAACGAGAAACAGGAGGGCGAGGAGGATGAGGGGGACAAGCATGACGAGGCCAAATGGGAGGAAAAGGAGCAAAAGGAGAAGGAGGAGGAGCACTACGAGATGAGACGAGGAGCGCGAGGTGGATGAGGAGGGGGCAGAAGAAAACGAGAAAAGAAACAACACGAGAAGCCTGGGACACAATCTGACCAAAAGAATCCAAATAAAAACATCCTTGTTCATTTTTAACGAGTACACAGCGGCAGAACAAGTTGGTCGTGGTCCATTTCTGAGTGGCACAAGTGGCGCCAGGAAGCTCTTTTGGCTTTCACCTCAAAGAGAATCAAAGAGCAACTCGCCTCCCACCCCACACCCAAAAAAAAAAAACCCCAAAACACTTTTCTGACTATAAAGTTATCAATTTGGCTACTTTTTCTACGTTTTAGCATTGTGATTGCATGTTATCAATTCACCAATTCTCAGTTGAAATGCCAGAGGAACCACCGCTATATTGGTGTGCCCACTATTAGCATGTTAGCATATTATTGTTGTGTTAACGTACTCACTGTTAGCATATTATGGTTGTGTTAACCCACCCGCTGTTATCATGTTATTGTTGTGTTAGCGTACTCACTGTTAGCATGTTATGGTTTTGTAAGCGAACCAACTGTTAACATGTTGCTGTTAGTGTACCCATCCCTAGTATGTTAGCATTCGACCTATCGCGACAGGATATGATGCTTCCGCGCAGGGTGTTAGCATGCTACGTTGAAGCCACCTGCATTCGTGCACTCGCCACAGGTCCACGCAGGTGAAGGGGGGGCTGCACTGGTTCCTCCTGCAGGAGTCGGAAGAGCACCCCGGAGTGAGGCCTTGCGCGCTGATCTGCGACACGCCTTCCCGTGTACTCTGGATAGCCATCGGCAGGTGGCGACCGTTCAGACGCAGATCCCTCATGCAGCCTGCGGGGGCGAAAATTGTTCATTGAGAAAGTGAAACATGCAAGGATGTCAGTCGAGTGTAGGGATGGTTAGAAGAGCGGTTATGTGCGTGTGTGCGTGTAGTTTCTCCCCTCCTTTTCAAGGAATACATTTAACACAACTCCCGGTGTTTTTTCAGAGTCTTTTGCGGTATACATAGAAAATATTGAAACAAAACATGTTTCTACAGATGAGAAGTTTGACTCGATCGGTGCATGTTTACCAGGAAAAAAAAAATGGCTGCCTTCCATCCTTGAAAGGCTCAACACTATAACTTTAAACATCTTATTTTCAATCCTGAAGCTGCAAAAAAGACAGGCACACTCTTGTGTCGTTTGTTTGCGCCCGAGACCGGAACTACTGGGAGACGTTGGAAGTGCCGAGTAGGAGGATGCACGCGGAAAATAAGCGCTTCGCTTCTTGTGTGTTGTTCTAACATGAAACACGACTTGTGTGTGCGTGCTCGCGTGCGATGTGCGAGGCTGGCTTTTCTCAGTCGATGAATTTCACACCCAGTTTCCTCTGCAGCTTTGACCAGTCTGCTGTGACGACATTGTTTGCTTTGTTTACATTTTTCCTCCCTCGCAATTTCCAGCATCTAAATGAATGCCGAGCGTACGAGGAGCATAAGCCCAAACACGCTTTTATCTGCGCACGGACAGTTTTACTCCTGTTTTAGTCACATAAATACTACCCGAAAAAAGGATGAAGTAGCTCTGTACTTAATTTCTTCATCTCAAGAAATCGCTTTTTGGGAGGTATTCGCCATACATAGAATCAACAAAAAACAGGCCCTGACCCCCGTTTCACTGAGGCAAATGACATTTTGTAGATAGCGTACGTCAATCACGGAGTCGACCTACAGAAAAGAAGAAGCCATAGCGTCAAGCAGGGAGGCTGCCGTTTTAGTTTGAAGCGGACGTTTTTAATCACCACTATTCCATGAACAGTACTTGTCAAAGACGGTTTCCGATGGATTTCTGATGCCGCACCACTAAATTCCAAGCTCGGGAAAAACAACTTCACTGACACACAACCTCCAGTAGGTGACAGCGCTGCACAAATTTAGATCGGAGATTCGGCCAAATCGTGAGTCCGCCGGTAAGAAACGACTCCTTGTTGGGTTTTTGGAGTTTTACTTTGCCCTCTTGTGAGTTAGGATCAGGGGACGTCAATAATACTTGTCAGATGGGGGCATGTGAAGCCCTTTTGGGGATTGAGGGCTGCAGGAGTTGATTTGACTTGACGTTGACGAAATTGCTCATTTTTTTTCAATTCCTGTCATTGCATACGGGCGAAGCACGGCGGCAACATTTGACGACGAGCCGGCCTCGATATTTTTACCCGTCCAGCAGCATCAGTGTCTTAAATCCAACACAAATGGGCGCTGTTACTATGACTCACCCTGGAAGCTCTTGTTCAGGGCGGAGGGGAAAGCGTTGCCCAGCATGACCAGCGTGGGGTCGATGACGATCTCCCGGCTGCGCCCCGGCGCCCCCGTCACTTCACGTTGGCCGCCTCCGCCGTCCAGCCGCAGCGTCATCTCGTTGTCGTGGCGCTCCAGCGACACCTGGTGCCACTCGCCGTTGTCCAGGCGGTACGTGGGCACGCTCAAGTTGTAGTCGCCGTCACCGAGGTTGTAGTACACGCCCAGCAAGCCCTGACAAATCTGATTGGACAACAAGGAGCCATCGATACCATCAAAGGCTGCAGACTTGGGTCAAATAATGGACCCCAGAGTTCAAAGCAAACATGGTAAAGATAAGATATGCTTTATTTGTCCCACACTGGGGAAATTTACAGTCTACAGCAGCAAAATTGGGGGGTCGAAAGAAGAAAAACAAAGTGTTAGCATTCACAAAAATAAATATTTCAGTTTCAACGTACACAGTTCAATTAAGTCGAACATAAATATAGATATAAATAAGGTGGTCTTTACAATTTAGCTGCATTTAGCTGTTATGCTGCACGCTAATTGAATAAGCTGTTGGTTGCCTTTAAATGTTGCCTTTTGCTTCTTGTTTTGTGAAGCACATTGAGTTATCTTATGCATGAAATGCGCGAGATGAATACAGCTCCCTCACACACAGACTTGTTAAACACACACACACACACACACACACACACACACACACACACACACACACACACACACACACACACACAAACACGTACACACACATACGCACATGCAAACACATGCTAGAAGCATGAAAAAACATCTGTCCGCTTTCATTTTGAGGATAAAAAGAAGAGCAGTCGATTTTTTTGAGGACTGAACTGAACGGTTGTCCTCGTTTCAAAGTGCTTCCTCCGAATGTCCCATTGTGCATAATTTCCTTCTCCCTCCTCCTCCTCCTCCTCTCCTGCATCATCCACACAAGCAGGCAGCCGAATGACAGAGGAAGACATGAGAGAGGAGTGGGCGGCCGCCACGAAAACAGACAACGCCGCTTTGCTGCTTTATTGCGAGGAGGCAGGAGGCAGCCAAACTGTAACATGAGTGTGTGTGTGTGTGCGCGCGTGTGTGTGTGTATGTGTGTGTGTGTGTGTGTGTGTTCGGTGCCATAGCTTGGGAACATTTAATAACTGACGAGAGATTCCTTCAAAGTGCGAGGTCAACCGTGTATTCTTGGCAGAGGTGTATCACTGAAAGGGGGTAATTCATTTTTACGAGCTACTCTGCGCATGCATTCTCATTTGCATTTTTATGTGTTGTGTTTCTCGTTTTACAAATGGCGTTATATATATATATATATATATATATATATATATAAAATTGCAGTTATTAAGTGTCCCTGCTTTGTGAAAATATATCCGCAACGCTCAAGCAGTCACACTTAAAGGCTCATTTTCAAAATGTTATAGATGATTTCATAAAACAGATGCAATTAGCATCTTCAGCAAACTTCATTTGGGAGACATAACAACAACAGTTTGATGACTTGAGAAGACTTATTTTCTCCGAAACAATGATTACATTTTGAATGATAACAACAGCAACACGTTTCAAAGTTGGAGGTTTTAAAGTGAGGGTAAGGCTTGTGTTCGAAATGAAGGTTGCAAGCCAGGGTAGGGCTTCCGAGTTGAGTCGAGTGTGTGACTTGCGCAGCTCCTGCATGAGTCGCCTTCCTTCCCGCTGAAGCGGGCCGTCCTCATTCATTCCGTCTCCCTTCCTCCTCACCGTCCGCCGTCGTCGTTGGGTCCCAAAGTCTCAGCGCCGCTCATTTTCCAAGCTCGGCCGTGAACTCATTAATTCTATTTCCAATCCATTGGGCCCCCGCATTTAACCACCTGATTTTCGCCCCAATTAAAAGAAAGCCGAGCACGAGCTGGACTCCTGCCGGCTCTCTCCCCTGACACGTGTGCGTGTTTGCGTCTCATCTTGGAGGAGGCGGCGAAGAAGGTGCGGTTGACTTGAGTAAACAGTCCCGCTGCGGGGCTCTGGCCGCTGAAATGTGAAGCTGCTTTCAGAACAGGCCATCAAGCCAGGGTCAGGGTTTCAAATTTGGGCTTCAGGCCAGAGTTGGGATTGCCATTTAGAACAAAAGGCAGTTTCAAATTAGGGCCTCGAGGCAGGGTTAGATTCATGGAATGGGCTTCAGAGTCGGGTTTCAAGAGAGGACTGGAGGTTGAAACAAAGGTCTGTGTTTCAAAGTTGCCGTTACAGCCAGGGCTAGGTACGGTTTGAAAGCACGCTTATCACTTGACATGAAGGTGAAGGGTTCGGCTGTCGATTTGGAGTTTCGAGAGAGAAAGAGTTAGGCCGCGAAAGACAGAATTAGAGTCGGGCTTTTAAATAAGCGTTAGGACTTCAAGCCAAGGTTGAGGTTTCAAGCTAAGTGGTTTTGAAGGGGGATTTTCAAACCGGGGTTCGGATTTTAATGAGGGTTTCCAACGGTGTTCATTTCAAAGGAAACAAAATCTGCGAGTCGCACAACGGTTCACCAAACATTGCCGATTTGTTTGAAGGAGAATGTCAATGAAAGAAGCACCTTGAAAGAAGGATCTGGAAGGGAGCAAAAGAAGGTTTCTTGGGACGCTGGCGAGCAGTCACGATTCCACACTGCCAATGGGTAAAGTCCAGCCTCTCCTTTCTCCGGTAATTTGTGCCTTCGTCTTATTAGTGTAATGCACTTGACTTTGGAGTCAGCCAATCCTCCTTGAAGCGCCTCCAGTTGGTCCAGAATGCTGCTGCTCGCCTCTTGACTGCTACTCGTAAGAGGGAGCACATCTGGCATCTCTTCACTGGCTCCCATGTAGAGTACTTTGTGAGGTCATATGATATGGTTTTATGTTTTCAAATCTTGAAATGGCCTCGCATCACCTCATCTCTCTGAGCTCCTACCCAGCGGCTCAGGTCAGTGGATCAGACCCTATTAGAGGTCCGGAGAACTAAGCGGAGGCTCAGGGGGGACCGAGCCTCCTCCGTTCCCGGTCCCTCTCTTGGAATGAACGTTGGGCAAGGCTCCTCGCTGCCCATCCTTTACACTCGTCATTTGGATTCTTTGGCTTTTGACTCAGCATGAGACTTAATTTTTAGTCGGACTCTTTTGGTGCTTTCTACTGTCTTTGTCATACATTTATTGTTTTATTGTTTGTTGTTGTAATCTGATTTTTGCTCCTTGTACAGCACTTGGTGATACAGCGGTGGTTGCTTTCAAGTGCTCGACAAATGCAGTCGAGTTGCCCTGAGGTGGGATACATTCTCGAAGTGCGCTGACCAATTATCGATGAGGAAAATGACCCCTAACAAGCACAACTTGGACCACCGGAAACGATAAGCAGGCTTCCCTTTGTTGCCAAGTCTTACCTCCAGTCGAACGTACTCGCTTTGCTCTCTGGAGCTCAGGCTGAGCACGGTGCTGCTGTGCTTGCGGGTTCGAACCAGGATCTGCACCGCCGTCCTGCGGGCCGGCAACGGCGAGGCCAGCTGGTAGCGCACGTAGCTGTGGCCGTCGAATGAGTACTCGGGAACCTCTGCACGTTACATCCCAGGAAGGGAAAACACAGCAAAGATGGAGATGTTGTGGATGTTGTTGATGATTTTGATCCCCGCGGGTGAGTTCACGCAACACCCGCCTCTGATCTCCAAACCGTGGCAACTTCCACTTCCTCTTTCATTCTGGCACGCTTAAGAGGCCAAAGCGTCCTGCTGGGAGGCAAAATCGCACACTTGGTGGTTTGTTTTTGTCTGCTGCAAGTTCATATCAAAAAATATTTTAAAAATCACTTTTTTTAACCTCCGCCAAGGGCAAAAGCGAGTGGAAAGAGCTTTTTGTGTTTGGTTTTGTTTTTCTGCCTAACTCGAGCTGTTTTTGGAACCGACTGAAAAAAATGACTTTCAAACTTGGGCGATGCCTCCTCTGCCCTCACGTTGTTCAGGAGAACCACCGCGTGGCACAATATGAATAAAAAGGTAGCTCGAGGCAGCCTTGAGCGAAAGCGATGCGGTCAACAGGCATGCTTGCCCGCTGCAAGGTGGGCTACCGACTCGTGTGTCAAAGAATGACACTCTCGCGCTCTCCCGTGAACCATAAATGCTAATGCTACGGTGACCCCGGGCAGCGGACAAGTTCGGCCAATTCAATCTTAGAATTTTCTTCCAATCTTTTGAGTAGCCTACTCAGCTTCTTCATGGTACACTGAAGTTTTTTCCAAATATTACTTGGACGGAAAGACTTCTAGGCTTCTGTCCCCGTCCAAGTGTTTGGCCTTTGCAGAGGTCTGCAACTGTGGTGAGAAGAAAAAGTAATTATTAACACTGTGCAGCTATTCTCTAGAGAAAAAAAACGAAACAAACCCGCCCCCCCCTAACAGCAGGGTTTGAGTCTCGAATTGCAAGAACGGGCCTTTTTCTCTGTTTTGTTTCTTTGTCATTGTCTTTGATTTTCACACTTTTCTTTCCTCCCTTTGTCGTTGTCACGCTGTGGCCGCGTCTTGTCGTTTGTTTTGGAAGTGACGCCTCGCGTGTGTGATTTAGCGAGCGTTTTTCTGACTGCCAGTTGTTGTCGTCAGCGCCTCTGCCAAGCTTTGTTTCCTTCGGCGTCATGTCTTACATTCTTAACTTTGTGCTTCACTGCCGCCGATCAGTGATGAGCGCTCAATCGTTTCTGTTCCTGCTTCGACGTCCAACAACGATCTCTCAAAACTTGAATAGAACAAGTCGAGAAATGTGACCTCTCCTGCACTCTATGAATGGGGAAGCACCAAGTCCCGTCTCCGTCCTTACTGTATCCCACCAAAGAAAAACATAGAAGTGTTGCTACTTGGAACAGAGCAAACATTTGGAAGAGCTGCCGACTGAGCGGCTTATCCTTCCTTCATTCTGACCGAGCAAACGACTTGCCGCCCTCCCGACTGACCAGTTTTATTGTTTTTAGTAGTTGTATGTCAACGCATAACCTCTGACATGGTCAGCATTGGTACTTTGGAGCCGTTCAAAGGTCCGTCGTGGGACATTGTCCTTACCCTCTTCGCACTGCTGCCCGCTGTATCCGGGCACACACTGGCAGCTGAAGGAGCCCCACTCTCCATGGCAGTGTCCGCGGCGTCCGCAGGACGGGTAGCCCATGTTGACACAGCTGCCGTCGGTGGTCTGGCAGCCCGGTGAGCTGGACTGCGAGTCGGCCGGGGAGTTCAGGTCGTACAGCTGCAGGACACGGAAGACAGGCACAAAGACAAGCAAGAGAGCGGGCCGTGAAAAGCCGCGCGGCGGAGGAGGAAGGCAGACAGTTCTCAACTCTCTTTGCTGGAGTTCAGAGATTGGAGAGGCTGCTTGAAACTCAGACAGAATGATGAGAGGTCCAGAGAGAAGCCTTTCATGCAACGCCGCTTGAAGAACTCCCAAGTTCAACAAATTCAAGCCCCGACGTGGAACTTCACTTCAACACTTCCAAGCTCTCCAGTGACTCAAGTTGGGAAGAGAGAGCTTATGAAGAATTTCAATCTCGTACACTTTTCCAAAAGACTATCATGGAACATGTGGCCATTGCCTCACCGTCACAGATGCTCTGTTCCAATTTCATATTTTGTCCGCCTCAAAGTCTTGATTCAGTTTCTTGTTAGCCCCTCGACGTCATGGTGTCCACTCGGTCTCGACCCCACAAAATCAGGGTCTCGACTCAAATTGGACCCCTCTGAGCCTTGGTCTTGACTGTCTTGTCTTTAGTCCGTGTCAGTTCCTCAAAGTCCTGGCCTCAACTTCTCCAAGTCCTGCTCTCGACTCTGTCCCAACACTTGAAAGTTATCGTCTTTACTTGGTGTTGACTCTCAGAGTCACGGTCTTGACTGAACGCCCCTGAGTCTTGGGCTTGACTCAGTCTTGACTCTGTGCCAACTCTTCAAAGTTTTGGTCTTGAATTGGTCCAAACCCCCACGAAGCTGTGGCATTGACTCTGCCATGGCCACTCAAAATGTTCTGAGTCTTGACTCATCTTGAGTGTGTCTCAACCCCTCAAAGTCCATTGAGTTTTGATCTCGACCTAGTCTGAACTACTCTCAATCTTGATCGTGATTCGGTCCCCACCCTTGAACCCCACGTTCCTCTCTGTTTTGTTCTCCACTCAGTTTCCACCGTCAACCCCTGAAAATTTTGACTCAGTCTCGGTCTCCAATTGGTCTCAACCCCACCAAAACTTGGTTTCTGGTCTCAAAGACAACAATCTGTTTTAGCCATAACAGGACTAGCCAGAGGAACGTCAACCGTTTATCGTCATGGTCTTGACTCATTCTTGGTCTGTATTCTGTCTCAACTCCTCAAGCACCTTGCTCTTTGGTGAATATGGTAACCAGCAGCTGTAGAGAGGGTCGTCCAAGGTGTCCCAATAACTTCATATCCTGGTCTTTGGTCTTGGTTTTGCGTGGCTACAGAAAGCATCCAGTGAGTCAGAGTGAGTCTGCAGCATTATTACGATGACATACAAATCAGGTCGTGTGGCTTGTATGTAATGAATAAATAAATAAATAAATAAATTGATTGATAGATAGATAGACAGCTGACACTTGGATCTCGTTTCCACTAACCCTTACATGACATCTACTTTCTATGCTTTATTCTCTGTTGCTCACGTTTTTGATTTATGACTCAACATTTCCTTTCCTGGCTGCTGCTGCTGCTGGGGTTTTACGGATCAATGCCTAAGAAGTCCACAGTAGTAAGGCAGTCAACTGAAGGGGGGAAAAAAAGACACCCGAACACCCAAACAAAACAGCTGACTTCATGAAAAAGAAAGAAGAATTAAAGCAGGTCAGTTTTTGGCAGGCCTACAATGGCCACAGTTACATTGGCACTTTGTATACAGCGGTGGTTGGTTTCAAGTGCTCGAGAAATGCACTTGAGTATATTTACCATGAATTTTATGACAAATTTTACTCTTGTTTTTTCTTACACTCACCCCGCTCATTTTTTTGTAACAAATCCCATTTACTCTAGATGATTAGCACACTTTTTTTTTTACTATTTTGCAATGATTTATTTGACAAATGTCACTCCACAGTTTTTTTTTTTTTTTTTTACAACAAATGTTAAATTTTTCTACCTTTTTAGGTAGGCTGAAAAAAACGTATTTATTACGTGTCAAAATATAATGTGAGTCAAAGTATGGTTGCTGTAACTTCATTCTGGTGGCAACATTGTTGTGTAGGTGTTGTCTTTGTCCCTTTTACCTTGCTGTCCACAACGAGGTTGCGTATGCATCCCGTGAAGTGTTTGTGTTGAAGCTGAGGGTAAATGTAGGGAATGTCCTCGTTGACTCCGCCCAGCTGCAACACTTGACTTGTGTTCAGGTATCTGCAAAGTCAATATTAACAGGACTTAGCATATTATTATACAAGCCCTACAGCCGCACCAACTTTTGACTTCTTCAGGTTATTTCGAGTCATTTGGTCCGTTTCATGGCTTTGCGTTTGCGAGCAGAAATTTGAGTTTTGCGTAAGCTGCACTTACTCGAGTAAAGTGGCAATGAAAACGGCACGTCGGCAGGGAGACGAATGGGACAAGAAACAGTCAAACACAAATACAAAATGAGAATTCTCGCAAAGAGTCGCTGTGGGCCACAGCTCGCTGACTAATTGGACAACAAGTCTCGGGCTTCTGATGTCACTCACAAGGCCACACCCCTTCGTCATACAAGTTCCAAACACAAATACAAAATGAGAATTCTCGCAAAGAGCCGCTGTGGGCCACAGCTCGCGCCCGACGCTCACGCGCTGACTAATTGGACAACAAGACTCGGGCTTCTGATGTCACTCACAATGCCACACCCCTTCGTCATACAAGTTGGACAGTAAATACACTATGGGAGGCGTACCTGTCGGTGTTGGGCGTGGTGCCGGTCACTTCGCAGGACGAGTATTTCTTTTTTGAGACAGGCTGCGTTTATTCAGCCAAAAGTCTCCAAACAATTCACACCCCTTCCTCCCTCAAAAAAAAAAAAAAAAAAACAAAATCCAAGACTGATGTCACCACTGCGTACGTCTGGCTTTTAAATCTGAGTTCCAAGCCCGAATTAGGGCATTCAAATCAAGGCTAGAGTTTCAAATTCAGGTGGATTTCAAAATATGGTTGCAAGACAGCATGAAGGAAGGATTTTTGAAGGAAGGATTCACAGCAGGGTTTGGGTCGCAAAACAAGGGTTGGGCTCTCAAGACAGAATTGGGACTTCAATCAAAGCTGAGGCTTTCAGATTAGCGCCTCACGTTGGGCTTTTGAGTGAGAGAGTATGGGCCAATATTATGGCTTCAAGACATAGTTGGGGTTTCAAATGAGGACTTTAAAGGGAGAAGGTTTTACATCTGTGTTTTAAAATATGACGGGGATTTTGCGCCGTGGTGAGTGAGGGCTTCCAGGGGAAATATTTGATGCTGAGGTTTCCAGACAGGTTCAATCTGACAAGACTTGAAGCCCTCATGTCACAAACAGCACTGTAAGAGTTAGGATTGATCGAAAAACACATTAAATCAATGTCACTGGTTATCGATGATTTTTAATATTTATACAAAAGGCCATCGAGTAATTAATAATAATGACGTTTCTGCATTTCAACACTCGTTCATATGCCCATAGCTGCAATTTAGTTGTATCAGTGCTTGTTTGCAGAAAATAAGCAAAACAGGCGGCGCAACAAAGGCATCTGAATAAATACAAATGTTACAAAAGACTTCCCTTTTTTTTAAATCCACCTGCCCTTCTTGAGCCGTAACCATGGCAACTGGGAACAAAACCCAGCCTTTTAAACACTTGACATCAATTAAAGACTCCGCAACACACGACAGTACTTTAGGTTCTACTCTGAGACAGAGACAAAAGGACTGAGGAGTTATCCATTTAAAGTGAGGTGTTGATTTTTTTTCATGACTTCCACAAGAGTGTTCACGGTCATTTGTATAGTGCAAACACGCACCACCTGATATGTGTTTACTGAGGAGATGTTAATATGAAGCGAGGAATTTGATTTGTTATGAATGGGGAGTGGGGGGGAGTCAAAATTAAACACCCTACTTCTTTCAATCGTTGCCCATGGTATTAAGTACTAGGAGTTGATTTGAAATAAGGCATTTTTTGACTAGGAGGCCTTCATTCGTACAAATGTTTGTGTAAAAGTCCATTTTTACTGACTCCTTGTGTCTATATGTGGCGAGACATTTTTTTTTTTTTTTTGCAAAGGGCAAACTAATGAATACCTCAAATAGTTGCAACGACAGCATGAGGAGTTTATTTGAACTCAGGGGTCTGTTGGAGAAGAGGCCTTTATCGGAGGAACGCTTTTGTAAGGGCGATCTATTTGAGGTGAGGCGTGTATTAACTGATGAATAGAAAAGTCTTGATTAAAAAAAAAAAAATGAACAAAAAAACCTTATCTCCTGAGGGGAGTTTGTTTCCTCAACTGCCAAGAGAGGACCAGGCGTTTCATTGGAAGTAAGGTGTCGAAACCAACTCTGGTGTCGTCACTCTACACCCAGAGAAATCGCGGCAGGGCTTTTATGGATTTCTTTCTTTATTTTCATCACAGTCCCACGGCTTCTCATCTGTTTTTTTTTTCTTTTTTTTTTAAACAGTGTGGCATTTATTTGAGGTGAGGCATGCATTTTTTTTGGGAATAAAACATAACATTTATATGAAGCAACCATCTATTTGATAGTGGGCCATTGACAAACGAATCTATAGGGGCGATGTCAGATGAGGTATCTGAGGCAAGAGGTTAATTTTTAGTGACTGGAAAAAGTGTTTTTTTTTGTTTTGTTTTGTTTTTAAGGCACCCATTTGAGAGGAGGCTAGTATTTGTACAAATGCTTGTGTAAAGGATAAGATGGAGAGGGGATATACAGCAAGTGAGATGAGACAATGATGATCTCCTGAGTGGAATTAGGCAAGTGGCATACTTCCGCAAATAATACCCTTGGGGATTTGTTTACTCAACTGCTGAGCCAGGACTCTGGTTCACTTCAAGTAAGTCGTCGATGGTGCTAAAGGCTTCACTTTTTTTTTTTTTTAACTGCCAAATGACTAAATTGTCGGCAAGGAAGACAAATGAAGTGAGAGCAGCATCTTTGTGGTGTCGAAAAGTAAAATCTCAACTCATTAAGTGTCGCTTGAGGGAACAGTTTCGGTGCGCTAATTTAGTCAAAGCCATGTCCTGATTGGCTGCTGGGAGACGAGTGAAAAAAAGACCCTCCGGGTTGCCTCAAAAGAAATCAAAGCGAACCGGAAAAAAAACAAAAAAAAAACATGAAAATGAGGCCAGGCAAGCGGTGCGTGGCATTGGGCCTCGGAGGTGAACAGCTGTCCTCCTGTCCCATGACTTGATTGGATGATAATTGAATTTTTCCTGGCTGACGTTATTATCGAATGACCTCAGAAGTCGTGAGGTTATTGAGGAGGATTCGATTTCAGGTGAAGCAGTTATTACACAACTGATGATTAATTCTGGCGTCAGGCATCTTTTAGACGTGAGGTGTTAATTTCCTCACGCATGAATCATTTTGTTTAGCGTGTCATGAAGAAGTCTTTGAAGGGGCTTGCTGGAGGTGTTCGTTTCATGAAAGGGGGTTCGTTTAGTCAAATATTTGAGGTGAAGTGTCTATCGGAGAGGGGGGCTTCATTTGTACAAATATTTGGGTGAGAGTGGACCTGCAATTGAATCATAGGCAAGGGGATCTGCTCAAGCAAAAAAACTGTATTTGTTTTCAATAAGCTGCCCATTAGACGGGAGGACTTTATTTGTAGAAATTCTTGTGTAAAATTCGAGCTGCAAACTTGTTTTCCTTTTCCTCAGGAGGTTTCTGTCTATTTTCATCTTTTACGCGTAATTGGATCACGGCTAGGGGCATTGAAATACGCGGCATATTTGAAGAAAAACATCTATTGGAGAGGAGGATTGGAGCATTCCTCCCATCACTCGCCTCGATGGGACGCTAATTGAAACCTCCCACGCTGGGAAAATGACAAGAGGTCGCCTTCGCGCGGGCAGCAAGGCAATTAAAAAAAAACGGGCTTTGAAGGGTGACGTACCTGCAATGAGAAATGTGATGCAAATTACTCAGCGCAAATTGACTCCAGCCAATGGGAGCCGTTGGGGGGGAAAAAAAAAGAAGTCCGGTACCGGTTAGTGGTTGAATTTGAGCCGACGATGACTGTCGCTAGTATCACGGAGCCTCTGAAGCGCTGGTGAAGGGTTTGGGCTGGAATTATGCCAAGCACAAAAAAAACAAACAAAAAAAAAAAACCTCGGGTGAAAGTTGTGCTCCGCTTCTATTGCAGGTCAGGCTCATGGCACAATTCGACACGTTTCAAGGCAACTGAATTCATCATTTAATTAAACGTACATTAATTCATTTAAATGTGAAATGATTGTGAAATAAGGGCCCCCAACAATGAAGGCAATTGACTATTTAATGAGGCCTTTGGAAGTTTGAAGACGTTTGATTGACTTTTCTGATCTGTTGGGGTTGTTTTTATGTTATGTCATTTGTCTTATTATATTGTGTTTTGATTTCAGAATTTTGTTTTCATTTCTGTTTTTTTATTTTGTATAGTGGGATTTATTTCATGGCCTTTTGAATTGATTCGATTTTGAATTTGTTGGTCTGCTTTGAGTCTTTTGAATTGTGAGAAATGTCCTCGACTGCTTGAAAGACCATACAGGGAACAAAGAGGAGTGTCTCACTCAAGGACTCTTCAACACCTTCGACACAGCAGGAAAAATGTATATCAAACAAAACATTCATTCAGTTTGCTAACTCCAAACCAGGATCCACATCCCTGATCGGATGCAGTTTTGAATTTTCTCGGAAAAAACAGATGGGCAGCAGGCTCATATATTTAGTTTTGCTTATGTTCAGTGATAACCGTAGACTGGAAAATGAATTTCAAATGTTTCTAAAACTCGTCTGAAGTCAAGACTTATAATGACGTGTGGAAGTATAGCTAGCAGTAATAAATAACTGACTCGTTGGCGTGAGAATGTGCAAGTGAGCTGGCGATGGTGATGGTGAGGGGTATATCGTTGATGGAAAAACTGAAAAGTATAGGACCAAGTAAAGACCCCTGTGGAATACCTTTTGAGAAAAGCCCCTCTTGCCTCATTGACTGTGTGCCAGGTAGAATGGAACGATGAACAGAATCAAATGCCTTTGCCGGCTCCCTCCAAAACAGCAGCACAGTATTGCCTGCTATATCCTCCTAACAGAGATGCTGGAGGGGGGAGTCGGCTGTTTATTCGACACCAGGGCAATCGCCATTTAGTCGATGCCTCATATGACATGACCAACATTTGAGCACTCTCCAGAATTCTGCTGAGGATGTCAAGCCGGTCCACTGTTCCACGGCTGGGACAAAAAGGACATTGAATTGAATTGAATACAACATTATTGTCAAATGCGCTGTATTACATACAGCACAGATGAAATTGATCAGATGAGATCGCTCCACCGTCGGTGGTTCACTTCATTTGACTCCATTAAAAGCGCATCGTCTTATGAATACCCCGTAAGCCCACCGAGTGATTTAAGCTGTTGACATTTTCACATGATGAAATGGCCCCGACGAGCCTTCTTGCTCTGTCATCTCAAGAAGCCATGACGACACGTTTTATGACATTGTGTTTTTACCCACTGGATCCGTACTTCAGATCAGAGACTGGACATTATTTTTTTTTGGATCTAGCGGTGCGACCCACCTTGCTGTTGCTGCGGATGTCCAGTCGATGCCAGCGTCGGTCGGCCACATTGATGTTGCCAGGCAACTGTAGCACCACCGTGCCGGAGCCGTGGTTGATTTTGAGCGTGGGGGTCCCACTGATTAGCTCTGAGTGGAGAAGGTGAGGAAAAATGGGGTCAGCTCCTTTCCAATGAGTACATTCGCAAAGCACTGATTAATAATTTGTGCATACAGTCAACCCCCCCATTTATGGAGAGTGAAATATTTTGAATATGCATGCTAAAAATCGGCAACATAGAGAGATTGTGTCAAAACGTTTGTTTTAAATCGTTTTACCCCTCCCGCACACTTTAAACACCTACTGATGCATATTTTTAAACTGATTTCTTCGCATCTGTTCTCACTTACTGTATGCTGTCAACAAATTGAGAGAGTATTGTACAATATAATTTTGAGGGAAGGAAAAGAAGATTTGCTCACCGTCTCCATATCAGTGGCAAAGTGTGCTCACTTCAAACTGTTTATTTCTGTTTACTGTAAAACTCATAAAATAAAAAGAATACTTAAACAGTAAAATGTACAAACACACGCACACACACACACACACACACACACACACACACACACACACACACACACTGTGTGTGTAAAACTATGTAAAAAAAAAAAAAAAACATGATTGCGAAATAATCTGACGCGCACGGTAAATTGGTATCTAGCGGCGGTTCGGTGCCTACTATTCAAAGGTGTTACCGGGCGCTCTCTTTGCGGAAACCAACATGTTAACCAAATATCCTCATTCGTCGTGGCCTCCCTGTGACTGACATTTTCCGTCTGCGTGCGCCGTTTATTTTTCCTCCCGCTGAGCCGCATCACCGTTGTTCTTTTCCACTCTGTCCGTGCTCCCGACTTACTCAAATGGGAAATTAAAAGTTAATGAAGTGTTGCAAACCTCGCCGCCGCCAGTGGTACTAGTGAGCTCGATGCAAGAGGGGGAGACAGGAGGATGCATGTTGTCTGGTCGCTACAAATCACAGAAGGGATTTAGGTCTTACTGTTCGCATCAACTCTGGTAATCCAGGGATGGTAGCGGAGCTAGACAGGTGCTTGGTCTCAGAGTGCGGAAATTCATTCTTCGGTAGATAGCTTGATTGGCTGGTTGATTTAGGTTTGAGGATGGCTGGTAGGTAGTGGATTGAAAGGTACTATGTCGGTCGGCCGGCCGGCCGTTCGGTTGTCAGTGTTTGGGTAGCTGGGTCGGTAGGCAGTTATGGTCCATCACTTGCGTTTATTATACGTCGGCGTTTGGGTAGGTAGATGGTAAACTGCTAGCTGGTTGGTTGGCTAGTTGGCTGGATTGTTGGGTTGGTAGTTGGGTAGGTTGGTGGTTTGTTGGTCCACAAGTTGTTTGGTTGATGGGCATGGAGGGCGTCGGTTATGGATGGATGACTGGGTAGGTCGGTGGATAGTTGGGTCGATAAAAAGGTAGGCAGGAAGATAGACGGGGGTGGGCTGGCAAGCTGGCCAAGTGGATAGTAGGTACAGTAAGTAGAGAAGTAGGTAGGCGGAGGGTAGTTGGTTGCTTGTTAGGGTCGGTTGGTGGTTGCAGTATGATCAGTCAGTTGTCTTTATAGGCGGGCTGTTATGTGGTTCGACGGAGAGATAGGTGAGTGGTTGGCTGGCAAGTTTTTTCAGGTGATTGGGTTGCTTGATGGTTGGCTGATCGTTCAGTTGGGTTGGGAAGTCGAGGTAAGTCGGTGGTTAACTGATCGGTCGGTAATTACGGTTGGTCGTACATCTTGACAAGTGGGTGGATTGGTGGATACATAGAGAGGGAGGTAGGTTGGTGGTTGGGTAGGCATGTCAGTACTGTCATTTGTTCAATTGAGAGATAGGTTGGTTGGTTTGTTGGTTGTTGGTCCATCGGGTTGGTAGACATTGCATGCTCGATATAAATCCTTGATGTTGTCATGGAAATACAACTAACGGGAACAGTTGCTGCCTGATATGCTCAGTTCACCTGGCACCAGTCACATTGACTGTAAAAAAAAAAAACAAAAAAACAAAAAAAAAAAAAACATACTGTCCTTATTTTGTCCATATACAATATCTTACTTTTCCAGGGTGTGGATACATAGAGAGGGAGGTAGGTTGGTGGTTGGGTAGGCATGTCAGTACTCTGTCGGTTGTTCAATTGAGAGATAGGTTGGTTGGTTGGTTGGTCCATCAGGTTGGTTGACATTGCATGCTCGATATAACTCCTTGATGTTGTCATGGAAATACAACTAACGGAAACAGTTGCTGCCTGATATGCTGAGTTCACCTGGCACCAGTCGTATTGACTGTAAAAAAAAAACAAAAAACATACTGTCCTTATTTTGTCCTTACACAATATCTTACTTTTCCACGGTTTTTTTTTGTTTGTTTTCCAGTTGAAAGATACAAAAAGACTAACCTCTAGCTAAGCATGAGGCAAAGTGCACTGACCGCTATTAACTCTGTTGCCCAACTTCTGACTTTTCTTGCACTTGCCGCCTTTCTCCAAACACACAGAAGATTCTTCGATCCTGTCTTTTCCGCCACTCTACGGCATCGCTTTTATGAGCTGGCCTATCGCAACATGAAAAGCTTCCAAAGCGCGCGTGAAGATCAATTCGAGGTCTCGCCGGCTGGATGGAGAGCTCTTCAATGCCGTCTCCTGACTCAGTTGAGTCACCTTTCTAACTTCTTTTCATAACACTGCGCAGCGAGTGGCAGAAAGGGAACGAATAAAAGCGGCAGAGTGGTGGCCAAATAGAAGATTTCATTTGTTCGAGCGGAAAGTCGGTGCACAGCAGATGAGGCAAGATTCTGTTCTTAGTGGACGAACGTGCATGGGTGCTTGAGTGGTTTGAGTGGGTAGATAAGTCATTGGTTGATTGACAGGTCAGTAGGTAGCGAGGTCGTCGGGGTGTTCGGTGGTAGGTTGGTTGAGTCGATGTTTGGTCGGTCAGGTAGGTGAGTGGTTGGTTGAGAAGGCAGGTTGGTCCGTTGGTCATTTGGTCCGGGTGGTTCGTGGGTTGTTGCTGAATTTGGAGCACAAAATCACCTGGTGATGGCCTCGGGATTCACCAGAGCCAAGAAGAGAAGCAAAAAGCGTGCAGACAACGACAATCATCAACCACACTCTAAGGACTCGCATAAAGAGTGTCTTCAGTGAATCACGGCTGTGCGTTTTGGTAAAAAAAAAAAAAAAAAAGAAAATGAAGACAAGTCACAAACACTTTCCTTAATCAGCATACATTTTGGTTATCTTTGATTTACAATTGAGCGTTGCCAACAAACTACAGCAAAGTTCCTGGAGTGAACCTAAACAGATAGCTCAACTCTTTCAGGGCATCTCAGATCATGTCAAAGTGAATCAGTGAGTCTCCCCCGCCTACAGTACATCAGTCAACGATACTGTTGTCCCCCCCAACCCGCACCCAATTAAAAAAAAAAAATCTCAGTAGGTTGTGGTCGCTGTGACTGTGAGGCACATTTTAATTGCCGCAGTTTGGCCCCCGGTTGCGGCGACAAATTCTTTGGTAATTATGGCCTCCTGACACAGGCGCTTCCTGTGACAAAAGATCAAACCGACGTTCCAGACAAATGTGGCGAGAATGAATTCATAATGGAACCACAGAGATAAGACAAAAAAAAAAAAATGATGGAGCGCTGCTGTAATTCAAATGGGCCTCGCTCTGATATTGTTGCAAGGCAGAAAAAAAAGAAAAAAAAACAATATAAAGAGCTTGTTAAATTATGGCAAAAAGACTGAAGAACGTGTGGAGTGCAAATGTTGAAGAGCGCTTCAATCAGCCGCCTCTTAACAAGATTGAAAAAGTCGGCGGGGCGCGGACCTTTTCAAATTTTGATGTCAGAGCTTGCTCACTTCTTTCGTTCCAGAGAAAAGCCAGTCAGCGCTAGTCAGAGAGGATTACCGCGAGTTGGCTCGTTGGAAAGATAAGGAATTAGGCGGTGTAGGCGGATGCGAAGGTACGGCATCGGCATCGTCGGGAGGTATGCGTGTTTGTTTGGAGGGTCGGAAGGCAGCTCAGGACGTATGAAGAAAATAGGAAGGAAGGAGGGGCGGACAGCTACGGAGGTCGATGAAGGAGGCTTGTTTGCTCGCTGAGTAGGTAGATGATCATGTAGGTAGGTTGGTACAGTAAGTAAGTAAGTTGGCAGGCAGTTGTGTCAGTGGATTGGTAAGCAGGTAGGTACTCTACGTAGGGAAGTTATTATATGTCAGGAACTGCGGTTTATTTTATTTGCTAGGTGGGCTGTGCAGTTACAGACATCGGGAGGGAGTTTTGTGGGTAGGTAGGGAGGTCGAAGTCAGGACATCCATCAGTCAGTCAATTACTCACTTAGCTAGGCAGCCAGTGAGGTAGTTAGCCAGTTAGCTAGGTAGACAGTTCGCCAGTTCGTCCGTCCGTCGGTCAATAAGTCGCCGTAATCCATTATGTTATATTTCACGCATTGTATGTATGCAACAAAGTATGTACAAAGTCATTTTGATCCAGGCTGAATCTTCTTGTGCTTTTCACGCTCGAGTCACGGTCTGCAATGCGCACCCACTCAACGACGTTCTAATGGGAATCGCTTTTATTTCGGGTGCCTTCATGTGAGTACAAGACCTCGCTGCGTTTGATTAGCGAGTCACCAAATGGATTACCAATCAATCCAAGATGGCTGCCTGAGCTTCAATGGGAGGACGGTGTGCTTGAAGATGAGTGTTTTTTTTTTGTTTTTTGTTTTTTTAATGCCGCTTTAAGACGCAGTTCACATTCTGGTCAATGGAAGCAACTGGTAGAAGAGTCTGCCTTCTCTCCATTGTCATTTGAAGGCATCTCTTTTCTGAGCTTAATGAGGTCATGTTGCATTCACTGACCTCGGTTTCGCCTCTTCTTGTACTTTTCACGCTCGAGTCACGGTCTGCAATGCGCACCCACACTCAACGACGTTCTAATGGGAATCGCTTTTATTTCGGGTGCCTTCATGTGAGTACAAGACCTCGCTGCGTTTGATTAGCGAGTCACCAAATGGATTACCAATCAATCCAAGATGGCTGCCTGAGCTTCAATGGGAGGACGGCGTGCTTGAAGATGAGTGGTTTTTTTTTTTTGGTTGTTTTTTTTTTAATGCCGCTTTAAGACGCAGTTCACATTATGGTCAATGGAAGCAACTGGTAAAAGAGTCTGCCTTCTCTTCATTGTCATTTGAAGGCATCTCTTTTCTGAGCTTAATGAGGTCATGTTGCATTCACTGACCTCGGTTTCGCCTCATATTGCAGCAGGCCAACACAATCACTTTTCCTCCCGCTTCCTTTCATGTTTCCGTCACTTTAATTAATTTGAGGATTGAGGGATTCGACGGACAATGTGCACGACTGCAGATTTTGAGCCACAGCTTTCATTCATCGGGAAGAGCTTTGGTTCTGCAAGGATTCAAATGGCTTTGTAGCTTCGAGCTCACTTGAATCTCTCATATTCATTTGATGTCGTGTGATTCACTCATTGACCGCCACCGACGCTGATATTGGTCAACTTGAATCCGACCGTTTACTGCCGCCGCCGAATGTATTGGTCAAGTACCTTTTTGAACAAGTGCGTGTGGAGGAGGGTGTCGCCTAGCCGGTCTCTGCCGTGAGTCAGTGCCACTTACGGTGAATTTCTTATTTCAATGATTGTTTTGCTTCCAAAACACTTTGTCACCCTCACTTTTATTGTTTTAAGGTGTCACCACTGAACTGGGGAGAAGCATATGAGCACTTATGTTAATTTCCATTTTCTTTTCACAAACAGCTCCTTTTCGCCACTTTTTTGGGTCGGTAACCGGTGTTGTGGGTGTACTTACTCAAGGACGCAAAAAGTCCGCTCTTTGTTTTTGTGGGTAGGGCGCCGCTTATATAATCACAGAACAATATTCCGCAGATCTCCATCAGTCGCACTGCTCGAAGACAGCTGGCGATACTTCCGCGAAAGGCAAGGCAGGGTTTTTTTGCCTTTGAATTCGGCTACCTCCTCCATTTTTCCTTCAGATCTCAGTCAAAATCAACAGGGCTCTCAAAACCAAGAACCCAAAATTCAAAAGCCATTCCTTCAAATTTCACAGCCCTGTTTGAACATTTCAAACCTGCATGTTTTTGGAATGTGGGAGGAAACCGGGGTAAACCCACTCAGGCACAGGGAGAACACAGGAAGGTCAGTGCCCGGATTCGAACCCTGGACCTTTGTACTGTGAGACAGACAGTAACCAGTATTTTGAAGACCTTTTCTAGCATACATCTCCTTTCGCACACAAACTTCAATATACAAAACAAAATGAAGTGTGAAATGACTTTCATCCATTTCCACACAAATGCACATTTGACAATATTTTTCTGTTGCACACACTAACACGCGCACACATAGACACACACACACACACACACACACACACACACACACACACACACACACACACACACACACACACACACACACACACACACACACACACACACGCACACGCACACACGCACACACACACACACACACGCACACGCATGCTTATAATAGGATTGTATTTGTTACAAGGCAGAATGTTAGGTGCACGTGGGCTCGTGTATGTGAGCTCGTCCATGTGCGTGCATGCATCTGTGTGTGCATGTCTCTGTGTGTGTGTGTTTGGGTGTGTGTGTGTGTGCGCGTCTGTGTGTGTGTGTGCGAGAATTAAATGCAGTGAAATGAGTGTCAGCTTAGCCCAAATGAAAAATCCTAATCCCCCGCTTGGTGGAGAGCAAAAGGGAATTAAAGCTCCAAAAAATGAATTTCACGTCAAAGAACAGACTTTCATTTTCTGGGCTGAGCAGCAACAGAGAAGAGTGGGCCGATCTACTTTCATGTCGTTCATTGCCACGCTTTGGTTGATGGTTTGAATACCACATGTGCAATTTGCTGCCGTTTCAGATGATAAAGTTTATTTTTCCATTTTCAAAATTGTATCTGTTTTCTACACTGTTTCTCCTCAGAGACACACACACACACACAAACACACACACACTTACCTATCCATCTGTCTGTGTGTGTGAGGGGAAGCGGTCTAGAAAACAGATACACACGCCTCACAAAATCGGACCGGGACATTGAGTGGTGGATTCAAGGAGCAAATACCTGTTGTGAATTTTGCCGTGAAGCTCCTCGTTTGAGAACAGCAACGTGAGCAAAAAGTTCGGAAACGTTTAACAGTTGGACATGTGCGTTCAAAAGCGTTTAGACGGTGCCATTAAGTTCACCTGGAAAGGTTTGAATGCATTTCAGGCTCGTTCTGAAATGTCACCCGAATGGCAAATGGTTCCCAAACTATTCCGAGAGATCGATCTAGAAATGATGTGATTCTGCACACAGCCATGATGGCCAGCGCTTCGATCGTCAATGCCTCTGTGATCCAGATGCTCCCCACCTGACCCCCAGGCCTTCCCACCCCCTTCGGGTCCTACCGAGGGCCATGAAGTCCTCGTGGTCCCAGGCCTGCAGCTGCGCCAGGGGCCCGCTGTAGAGCAGCAGGCCGTCCGGCACCTCGGTGATGAACTCCAGCGAGATGTGGCTCTCGAAGCACGGCGTCATGGGAGGAAACCAGGCGTAGCCGTTGCCGTGGAAACTGTGCTTGTTCTGCTGGCACTCGGGACCCTCCAACTGGGCAGGGCACTGGCACCTGGACAAAAGGGGGGGGGGGGCGCGGGTTACTCCAGTCTCTCAAGGGACAGACGTGAATGACGACGCAGCTTTTGGAGCCTTCTTTCGTGGGTGTGGCCATTTTGGAGTTGCGCAACTTTTGTGCCGTTTCAGGTATTCCCCACAACACTGAGCTCTACTGGAAGAGATGCGGCGTCATGCAAAGAGAAGAAGGTGCCCAATCCCCAAGCGTGTGTCCTGAACAAGGTTATCAGGAAACGAAAAAAAAGATGACTGAAAAAAAAAGAAAGAATAAACGTTTTCACAAAATGAAACCAAAAATGGTTTTAAAAAAAAAAACAAGACAAAAATTACATTGATAAACCGAACTAAAAGTAACGAGAAACAGAGTCAAAATGTCCGTGTTTGTCAATGAATACTTTGCGGGTTCATTGGAGCTGTCTTCATGATGGCATTTCTGTACAGAAGGAAGGAAGGTCAAACAGTTCATTTGGAATTGAGATATACTCCATATATTTCAAAAAAGCAAAACTAATAGTAAAACTTTGGAAAAAAAAATCATAATTTAAAAAAAAGAATAAAATTGCTCTAAAAATGAATGTGAATCCGAAGTCAATCCTGTGGTCCAATCTCTCTGGACCGTACAATTGAGATATACTCCATATATTTCAAAAAAGCAAAGCTAATACTAAAACTTTGGAAAAAAAATAGTAATTTAAAAAACAGAAGAAAATTGCTCTAAAAATGAATGTGAATCCGAAACACCAAAGTCAATCCTGTGGTCCAATCTCTCTGGACCGTATCCCGACGCCTCCTTATCCAGCGGCGGTGAACTTCTTTTTGACACTTTCTGTCGTTCTTTTGCTTTGAATTATTTGATGCATAACGTCTCTCAGTCCGCCACGCTCGCTTTTTTCGCTTCCTCCGCGGTCTTTTCCTCATCTTACTCGTCTTTGCAATTTTCTCCATCCGCCGCTGACGAGCCGCGTCTCCTCCCTTGCCT